CTATATATATATATATATATATATATATATATATATATATATATATATATATATATATATATATATATATATATATATATATATATATATATATATATATATATATAATGGCAAAATATACATCATGTCATGTCAAAATATACCCCCCTCTCAAGTCAGTATATTCTGAGCTGAAAATGGCAAATATATATTGCATGCATGGACATACTGTAGACTGTTTTGACCTGTGAAATTAATTTTGAATTATACAGTATATACCAAATATGTTTTCATTTCAATCATTTCAGGACGTTCTATATTAGCTTCCACTGGTTAACTGAAAGATGGTACATCTTCATAACCTGCCAGCAAAATATGGCACATATTTCTGGCGCAAGAGTTTCACCAAGTAGAACCTCACACGTGTATATTCTCTACAGATTCCATTGCCACTGGTTAAGAAAATATGGCACATCTTCATAACCTGCCAGCAAAATATGGCACATATTTTGGCGCAGGAGTTTTCACAAAGTAGAACCTCACACGTGTATATTCTCTACAGATTCCACTGGGTAAGAAAAGATGGCACATCTTCATAACCTGCCAGCAAAATATGGCACATATTTTTGGCGCAAGAGTTTTCACTATGTAGAACCTCACACGTGTATATTCTCTACAGATTCCACTGGTTAAGAAAAGATGGCACATCTTCATAACCTGCCAGCAAAATATGGTACATATTTTTGGCGCAAGAGTTTTCACTAAGTAGAACCTCACACGTGTATATTATTCTCTACGTATTCCATTGCCACTGGTTAAGAAAAGATGGCACATCGTCATAACCTGCCAGCAAAATATGGCACATATTTTTGGCGCAAGAGTTTTCACTAAGTAGAACCTCACACGTGTATATTCTCTACAGATTCCATTGCCACTGGTTAAGAAAATATGGCACATCTCCGTTCTTCATAACCTGCCAGCAAAGTATGGCACATATTTCTGGCACAAGAGCTTCTATACTGAGAGAATATAGGCCTATGCGCATAAAAAAACGAGTCATAAATATACGGTATTGTCAAAATATCGTTTTACCTATATACATATTGTTTTCATTCCAAGGTCTAGCACAATACATGCATGCATGTATGCAATATAAATAACAATTTGTTAGCCGTGATCATGAAGGCTCATGAATATAGCTACTTATAATTTTTTTCTGTGTTGGTGTAGTGTACTCAGGTGAATATGATATTTGTGGCGTTACTCTGAGTGTATATCCACACCGGGCGAGCTTGAAAAATATGCCCGGCCACGGTGGGATTCGAACCTACGACCTTTGGAATACCAGCCCAATGCTCTTCCAACTGAGCTACGCGGTCAGGACGGTTCGAGTAAGTGATATTTCGGAACAGAATCTAGTTCCTTCAATACCAATGTATTCTAGTAATATGAATTTTTTCTGTGTTGGTGTAGTGTACTCAGGTGAATATATATTTGTGGTGTTACTCTGAGTGTATATCCACACCGGGCGAGCTTGAAAAATATGCCCGGCCACGGTGGGATTCGAACCTACGACCTTTGGAATACCAGCCCAATGCTCTTCCAACTGAGCTACGTGGTTAGGACGGTCCGAGTAAGTGATATTTCGGAACAGAATCTAGTTCCTTCAATACCAATGTATTCTAGTAATATGAATTTTTTCTGTGTTGGTGTAGTGTACTCAGGTGAACATGATATTTGTGGTGTTACCTTAGGTCGTAGGTTCGAATCCCACCGTCGCCGGGCATATTTTTCAAGCTCGCCCGGTGTGGATATACACATAGCTACTTATAGTTATAGTTATACATGCATGTAGCTACACATCTATACATTTTCACGTTGACTTAGTACGGCATATTGAGTACCATATTGGTGAACTATTGTAATAATATTGTAATAATAATTTATTCACCGCTAGGCACTGCAGTGTTAATTCAGTGTTAACTCAAATGTTAATTATTCTGACCCAATTGAGATTGCAAACAAATTCAACGAATATTTTGTAAACGTTGGACCGAATTTAGCCAAAGGTATTCAACAAAATGACACAATATCATTTAAAAATTATCTCAAAAGTAACCATCGAGAAAGTATGTTTACTGAGCCTGTTACAGAATATGAAATAATGACTGAGATTGATAACTTATATGAAACTAAAAGTGCAGGTCATCATTGCCAAAATGGTAAAAGTGATAAAACAACAGATTTGCAAACCTCTTGCACATGTTTTCAATTTAACTTTTGAAACTGGATTAATACCGAATACACTAAAAATAGCTCTTGTTACTCCTATTTTTAAAGCAAATGAAAAATGTCTATTCGAAAATTATAGGCCAATTTCAGTAGTTCTCACGTGTTTTTCGAAATTGCTTGAAAAAGTAATGTACAAAAGACTGATTTCATATATCGAAAAACAAAACATTTTATCTAAACACCAGACGTATGGTTTCAGGAAAAATCGCTCCACTGAACATGCTATTATTGAATTGACTGACAAAATCTCAAAGGCCATAGATGAAGGAAAATACACAATCGGTATTTTCCTTGATCTATCTAAGGCTTTTGACACAGTTAACCATAAAATTCTTCTAGAAAACCAGAACATTATGGTATAAGAGGAAATTGTTTAAAATGGTTTGAAAACTACTTACATGAAAGAACGCAAATTCGTATTTTTCGTGATCATAAGTCAAGTAAGATGACTATATCTTCAGGAGTTCCGCAAAGCTCGATTCTTGGGCCTCTACTTTTTCTGTTATATATTAATGACATTGAGAACTGAAGTGAAATAATTTCTTTTGTTATGTATGCTGATGACATTAATGCGTTTTACTCTGACAAATGCCTCAAATCTTTAATGCATGTTATGCAAAAAAAAAAAAATGAATGAAGTGACTAAATGGCTAAACGCCAATAAATCATCAATAACTACTACAACAACTAAGTACGTCATTTTTAAATAAAAAAATAAAAAATGTGACACTGATATTAATATTCAACCACAAGCGGCCCAATCTCGCAAGGGTCAGTGTAGACTTATAGTATAAATGCATATTATAGTAATGTATATTATAGTAAAAATATGTCATAAAATAAAAATTTTAAAATGAAATTGACTTGCCTATTTGATAGTGTGTGTTTTCCTTGTATTCCTCCTTTGTTGAACTAATATTTTCCGAGAATTTGTTCTCGATGTTACTAGTATACATGAAACATGATAAAGGCTAACGATTCCCGATCGTCGATCCGACGGCACGGCACTTCGAATCGAAAATTCTCATACTCAAATCGCTTTATTCTCCAAAAACATTCGCCAGCATGCACAACAGATGCCGTTCTTCGAAAATACGGAGATACTTCGGAGAGATGTACACGTTTTGGACCATATTTTAACAATGGAAATCAAAACCCATTTTATATTGAACTTGCCTAGGCCGAAAATTACTACGGCGAACGTCTGCGCAACCAGGCCTCCTTACCGTTGAGATTTACAGGGGGGGAAGCAGATATTTCCGGTAACAGCCAGCCAATCGCAACCGTGATAGCGACTGTTTACATTATTTGAAATTTGATATTCAAAATAAAAACTCCTTCGATCGGATACTGTGTAAAACTCGAGATGTTGAAGAAGAAAAGAAAACTAAACGACGGATATTGTAGGAATTTAAGGAAGAAATATACAGCGGCTCTTTGTTGGAAAGCATGGTAAAATATGATAATTTAATTCGAAATATGATCGTTAATATATTAGTGGCATCCTTCCCCCCTGTAAATCTCAACGGTAAGGAGGCCTGGTTGCGCAGACGTTCGCCGTAGTAATTTTCGGCCTGGGCAAGTTCAATATAAAATGGGTTTTGATTTCCATTGTTAAAATTTGGTCCAAAACGTGTACATCTCTCCGAAGTATCTCCGTATTTTCGAAGAACGGCACGGTTGTGCATGCTGGCGAATTTTTTTGGAGAATAAAGCGATTTGAGTATGAGAATTTTCGATTCGAAGTGCCGTGCCGTCGGATCGACGATCGGGAATCGTTAGCCTTTATCATGTTTCGTGTATACTAGTAACATCGAGTACACACTGTTATTTTCAGGGAGTTAAAATAACTCCCCTATTACTCCTTTTTAGTGGAGTTAAAATTTTAGGGCTACGTTAACCCCATTTCAGGAGTTAAAGTAACTCTCTTTGAGGAGTAAGGGGATACAGGCGAACTAATTAGTATGCAAAATTAACTCTTGATGGTGGAGTTATTCAGATATAACTCCATTTATTGGAGTTATTTTTAAAGGCAAACAAAATGGCGTCGTTTTTTCGGCTTTTTTAATAGCTTGAACTCGCTCGGATCAGGGGCGGCGGAACAGGGGGAGCTAGGGGGGCTAAAGCCCCCCCCCCAGAAGTAAAAGTGGGGGGGGCTTAGCCCCCCCCAGTAAATTTGATTTTTTTGAAAAAATTTTGATAATTAGGGAAAAATTTAGGTTATTTTTTGAAAATTTAGGTATAAGGGGACAAATTTGCAATATTTTGTTTAAATAAAGTGTATTTCCGAAAAAAATTTTTGATATAAGTCCGAAAAAATTTTTTTCGTCCCTTTTTTTGTATATTGTATATTGTATATTGGGGGGGGGGAGGTCGCTGAAAAAATTTATCCCCCCCAGAACGAAATCTGTTCCGCCGCCGCTGGCTTAGCCTGCGAACAGGCTCTCAAGCTGAATTGAGAGCCTGCATTGATGACGAATGAATTTGAATATCTGCCCCGTAACGTTCGTTTTTCCAAATATGGAATGCCTATCCTTATATGGTGTTGTTTACAACTTTCGTGCAAACTAAATTTAGACCGTGCAAACTAAATTTAGACCGTGCAAACTAAATTTAGACCGTACAGTTTATACTGTTTTTCGAAATATAAGATATTCAAGCAAAAGTTCAAATGTTTTAAATACTGTTTTCTCAAATCAGATCATTTCGTGCTTTGAGATAAGATGGCCAAAACCAATTTGATCATTTAATGTGTTTTTTATGCATTTAAGTGCTGCAGTTGACATATATAGAGCTCAGCGGAAACATATAAATTATAGCATCTGACCAATGAGAATTTCGCGTCACAATTTGAGACGCAGATATTCGAATTCATTAGTCATCGATGCAGGCTCTCAATTCAGCTTGAGAGCCTGTTCGCAGGCTACCGCTGGCTCGGATTGCTTTCTTTCTACTGCACTCAAGAAAAAAACCCGTGAAAATTATACAGAAGGGAGGCGAGAACTACATTATTCATGTTTTAGGTAAGTGAACATATTTTACTTCGTGTTTAATATAAATATTCAGATGAGAGGAGTGACATTTTTGGTCACAGCAGCTCAATGACGCAGTGTTTTATTACAACTTATTTTTATTATTCTGTGGTGATGTGTTGTATCATATTAAATTTAAACATAGCAAGTACAAATTGTACACATTGTACTTGTCATACAGTACAATACAATCCACTATTATTAGTTAAAACAAGACATGACAGCTACGACAACACAAAATACATTATATTTCAGTACAACAAATTAAGTATGTAGTACAATTTTTCATCACGCAGTACATTACAGTACAATATGCCTGAAAGTACAGTGTACCAAAGGACAGTACAGCACAATTTCGCATAGTTAAGATTACTGCAGCACAGTGAAGTACAGCCGAGTTTAAAACACATAAAAATTCAGAGCCGCACAATAGAGTTTGAGGTGATTGTTTGAGCTGGTTAACCCACATTAGTGTGCATTAATACCCAACCTTGAAAACTAAAATTGTCTGGAATTAGACAAAGTAAAATACCAAAGTAGGACGCCATGGGCCATGAAGTGTTTAACACAACCCAGCCATTGGCAGCCAATGTACTGTTGTGTTAGTAAATAGCACAGCATTAGTGCAACACATCACAAGTCTTATAACAGTCTTATTTTGGACATAATTGAATGAATATGCCTCACTGCTCAAGACAGTAATTAGCACTGCAGAGCAGATAGAAGAACATGGCTAAGCATATAACACCACAACAAGAATACAGAATGGTGCATGTACAGTACAGTACAATACAGTATTATAGTGCCATACCACAATATAGTATCAAGATTCTAAGT